GCTGCTGCTTCAAGGGCAAGGTTGACCTTGGTCGCACTGGCTGCCTTCCAGTGGAGAGTGAGACTGATGGGAGGGGGAAAGGGGAGGAGCAGCGCAGTGACAAGAGTATTGGAAAGAGGAAATGGAAGGGGAAGGGCAACGCAGTATTGGTGCATTGAGAGACATTTGAGGCATTTCATGAGCATTCAATGAGGGTGGTGACTCATTGGAATTCAAAGCATGTCGATTGCAGGGGGAAAAGGTATGTTCATGAAGATTGCAGGGGGGAAACTTCAAGGCCCGTGCTAGAAACTCACTCGGAGGACAGCTGCGTTGAAGAGGCATAGTCAGCGAGCGATGACGCGTCACAAGTGGCACTAGTGCCCACTGTGGTCGTCCCCAGCGTTGCACTGACTGCTGCGGGATGCGCTCCCAGCGATGAATTCCCTACACCTGCTGCGGCAACCCTTGCAGTTGCAGTGTTGGACGACGTTGCTGCCGCTTCGGTTACAGTAGCTGCATCGCTTCCAGTGCTGATGCTGCTACCACTGGCACCAGTAGTAGCAGTAGTGCTGCTAGAAGCAGTGGAAATGGAGGCGCTAGCAATCCTGCTGTTCACCCGTGCTCTCCAACCGCTGCCAATAGTTGGCTTCACAGCTTGCACACGATGCGTGAGAAGCTCACGCCTGGGCTTTCCACTGGCAGCAAACGCACTGCCTTGGAGAATGGCAGCCATCACCACGAAAGCAAAAATCGCCCTAGTGCCCATGTTGCGGAATACTATAAGTGATAGGTATGTAAGGCGTACTCCTGCGAGAGTGCCAAATTTAGATGGTTGGAGTGAAATGAGGGTTTTGCGGAATGGCTGGTGTTGGTGAAGGTGGGGTAGGGAATGGTGAATGCTCTGTGCTGGTGCTGTGTTTGCCTGAAGTGGATTTGTAATTTCTTCAGGCTCAAAATTCTATCCACCGCATTTGCGTCACCCATGTCGCGCATGCCTAGTTCGCACGACGCGAGATTGGAAAACCAATCTCGAGAATGGTCGTTGTCGGTGAAGATCGACGGCTATTATTTCTGCAAGTGCCGAACGTAAACTGCGGCGAAGGGATGGATTTCGTGACGTGGTTGCAAAGACGAGTCAGCGTCCAGGCAAGACTGGCCAGAGCAGTATTTTGACTGGCTGCTTCGGCATGGTTTGTTGACGAGTCCATTCTCCGAAAGTCAACGTGCTGCGAGAGGCTTCGCGAACGGAGCAACGAAACCGCTAGGTGTAACATCGAAATTATCGGTACAGTTAAAGCGTGAATTCCAAATGATCCCACTCGTTCAGCAACATAGAGAGCCAAATTATAACGAAACTGCCTTGACAATTTCAGTCGCTGCCAGAGCAGCTTACAACGGGGATTCCATTTTTGTCCCTCGCAATTTCATTCGCTGCCGCTCACTATAATATGTCTATGTCTTTAGCCATGCTCTCAGGTGACGCACAAATCCTGATTCTGGCGACCAAGGCACGTCTGAAATGCGGATAGCCTGTCTGTCGTCTCGTCCTCTCGGCAATGCGCAATTTAGGAGTCGCTTTTCGCGCGAGCACCTTCCGCGCAAGCACCATGCGCTCTCCTCAGTTGCCTTCCGCAGCCGGCGGTAGTCAGCGCAATTCGGCTTCGGTAGCGGGAATGGCGACGATTAACGCGACGGCTAGTGTCGCAGGGCGGTCGCATGGCAGAAGTGTGCTTCAGCCTGGACGGTTTCCGACTCAACAAGAGCTTCTTCGCTTCCCAGATAAGTGAGTCATGTAAATTCGATACAATTGAACGTGCATCAAATTCGGAAGGTTTACATTGGTCATACGAAAATTCAGGTGCTAGAATACTCCCCTCCTCGGCCTGCAATGCTGACTCCGCCGCCCTCAGAGGAGCTTATCCCCTCCCTCCCCCCTGCACCCGCCACTCTCTTCCACCCCCTTCCCCCCTTTCCCCATTCCCCCCAGACTCATTGACGCACCGCCTCGCCCCTGCCCTCCCCCTCCTCCCTCCTCCCTCCCCCTCTCTTCCCCCCCCCCCCCCCCCCTTCCCCCCCCCCCCCCACCTCAGGCTCATCAGAGACATCGCTTTGGTAATCTTCTGCCCTCCCCTGTCCCCTTCCCCATCAACCCCCACAGCCCCCTTCAGCCCCCCGCCCCCTGCCCCCCCCCCTCTCCCCCCTCAGGCTCATCAGAGACATCGCTTTTGTTGCCTTCTGCCCGCCGCTGCTGCTCTCGTCCAACCAGGTACGCCTTGAAACAAAAACTCACCTGCTGTGGACTAAGGCCTCTCTACCCGATTCCCCTTCTGCCCACCCCCCTCTCTCTCACACACCTCACCCCCCCTCGATTCATCTTCCTCCCTTTTCTCTCTCCCCTTCTCTTTCTCCCTTGCTCTCCGCAGCTACCAACAGTGGACCCACACGCATTCGCCCAGACCTCTTCCCTCCTGATGCCTAACAGCCCGGATCACTCCAGTCCAAGCAATTATCCGCACCATGAGGCATGTGACAATAGCGAGAGGGAGGGCCAACAGGCGCTCTTGGCCTGGCTGGAGTCCCTGGATGGAGGACACGTGGCAGCATGGTTCAGGCAGAAGAAACAGAGCGCCCGATTGGGCGACCACTATGCTCTTTGCATTCTCTTCGCCCTCACGTTCGGCCCGAGCCTCAAGCCTCGGGGCCTCCGAACCTCTGTCCAAGTTCACGTTTCAGAGGTTCGGGGGAAGCCCACCCGGCTTATCTTCCCCGAACCAGATCAAACCCTCCCCGAAGCAGACACATCAGCTGACGGCGGCCTATCCGAACCTGACCCCCCCAACCCAACATGCCAGACTCCTCCACCTTGTTGAAGCAGAGTCCAGACCAGCCGAACTTACCGAGCCTAGAGGGCTTCAGCGTGCCGAGCCTGGAGCTGGCTCCGGCTCGGCCAGAGCTAGACTTTCCGGAGCTGAGGCAGATGGGCAGACGGGCTCGGAAGCGATTCCTGCGCGAGTCGAGGGAGAGGAAGGGGCGGATTCAGACCATGGGGGAGTTTGATGTGCTCTTCACCCTGCCGCCTCCCTCCCTCCCTCCTCACTCACCCTCTCCTCCTCCTCCCTCTCTTCCTCACTTGCTCTCTCCTCCTCCCCTTTCTCCTCCTGATTCCAAGTCGCCTGGTTTATGTTGCAAGAGAGTTTTAGAGGGTGGTGCAACTGCTGCTGCTGATGATTGTGGTGGAGATACAGCTGCTGTTGCAGCTGTTGATTCTGCTCCTCCTGCTGCTGCTGCTGCTGCCGCTGCTAATCCCGCCATTGGACTTGAGGATGCAGCCGCAGCAGCCTCAGCTGTGCTCCACCACTGGGAGCTTTCCGTGAAGTTTCTCCTCTTCGTGGGCTCGTGGGACGATGCACTTGCCATCTTCTCCCGCCGGTTCCATCCCACTCAGAGCAGCAGCAGCAGCAGCAGCAGCAGCACCACCACCACCACCACCACCATCACCACCACCATCACCACCACCACCACCAGTAGCAGCAGCACCACTATCAGTGGTAGCAGCAGCAGCAGCAGCAGCAGCAGCAGCGGCAGTGAAGCAGCACCTGACTGGCTGCTGGGGCAGTACCTGGGCCCCCACGTGGGGGAGTCCCTCCGCGACCGGAAGGAGCGGCTTAGCCGACAACTGCTGCTGGGCAAACACGGTTATGGGGCTCAGCTTATAACGAGGATGTATGGAGTTGAGGGTACTGGGGGGCGGCAATGGAAAATGAAGGGAGTAGGGAGAGTTGTGGGGTGGATGGGATTACAGAGAGCTGTGGAGGGAAAGAGATATTATCCTCGTTACAAGCAGCAGCGCTGTTACAAGGGTACTTGTTCTATGAGTACCCCCTGTGGCTGAAACTGAGAGAGATGGAGGAGGGCTGGAGAGAGAGAGGCGCCAAATTTGGGACCGTTGCTACCAGGGGCGATTCTGAGATAGGGGGTAGAGCAGTAGCAGCATCAGCAGCAGCAGGAAGAACAGCAGCAGCAGCAGGAGACACAGCAGCAGCAGCAGCAGGCACAGGAGCACCAGCATCAGGAGCAGCATTTTATGGAGAATGTGCCGTGTTCCCCTGGCACTGGTACGGGTGGTGGACGCATGATGCTGCAGCCATGGTGCAGCTGCCCAAGCATGCCCACTCCCGCTGGTACATCATGCCCAAAGACGAATGGCTCTCGCCTGTGCTGGTCCCAGATGAGACACCCCCTGTCTATTGCCTCCAGATACCACCTCCCCTGGAACCCACCTAGATGCTGCCTGTGCAAGTGCTGACCTGGACGCTACCTTCCCCGAAGCCCACCAAGAAGCAACCTGCTCTGGTGCTGATGACCTAGGTGCCTGCTTCCAGTCTTGCCCGGATGGAATTGCAACGCCATTGACAGGAAACCTTTTGCTTCAAGTTATTTACAAGTGCTCCGAAGAGGCTCGGTTGAGGAATCTTCCCAGGAAGCTCCGTTTCTTGGTTGCTGAGCTGGAGTGGGACTCACGGTATCAGTTTCAGGAGGAGACGAATGGTGAAATGCGTGATAGCGATGGAAGTGAGGGGCTTGAGCATTGTGATAGGAAGGGAGCTTGGGTTGAGGCTAGCAGGGGATTTATTGTTGAGAAGGGTTGGCCTGATAGTCGAAACCATCCTCCACATGGATTCGTTTGGAGAGAAGAATGTAACATTCCCTTTTGGTGAGTTGTGTGTGTTTCACTCATACTTTGTGCAATTTCCACAATCCATAACTAGCCCCAGTTCCATTCCCCTTACGCAGAAGTGGAGACTTTTCAAGCGCAATTTAGCTGTGTCCAATCGGAAAAAAGATCCTCCTGAGTTCGGTCAAGCCACGTGTCAGATGCCGAACCAGCTTTGCCCAACCAGAAATGTGGCTATGGTTTTCCGAACCAGGCGAATCCTTAAGGACGGCGCCGCGAATACACGCGCGGCCCAAGTAGGGTGGCTGCGGGGGCTTGCTTGCACCACGCGAAAGGGGCCTGGCTGATGTGGGATTTCGCGAGCCCTTGTACGCCCCATTTTGGTTGGCTGTTGAGTTCTCGCAGAAACAATTCTTGTATTGCGACATTCGCCAGGTATGGCCTCCGCATCAGATTCCACCTTGCGACATCGACAACCAGACCAGCCCTCACGTCACGGCATATGTCTGGGTCCCACGCTCCGCCCTCCGCCCCCATGCGCCCCTTCCCACCAATCAGCACTTTACGCGGCTCCGCGCGGTGCCCTTTTTTCTCTGTTGCCAACAACCTTGTGTGCTCACAAGTGCGGGGCGGCGGAATCTCCTCCCCCTCTTCGCTTCGCATCCCCCTCAAACCCCCACTTCCCCCCTCCAATCCCGCGCCTCGCCGCCACCTGTTCCCTCTCCATTTTGTAGCGGTGTTTTTCCTCCATTTCCCCCGATTCCCCCCCCTCCCTCCTCCTCTTCTTCCCCCATTCCCCCCCGCCTGCAGTTTGTAATGTGCCCGTGCTACCCCGTTGCCCGCGCAAGTACGTTGCACCTTGAGGGCTGGGCAAGGAAAAGAAATCCAGGAGTTCAAGAATCCTGAGATTCATCATTTGGCGATTGTGGCATTTGGAGTTCGCGGGAAATCCATTCCTGCTGGGCTTCTTTACTGAACGCACTCAGCGTTCTCCTCCAGCACCCCAAGCAGCGTACGGAGGTGTGAACTCCGCCAACCGACAGCCACCGCCAACTCCGCCTCCGCCGGAGGTCCATCTCTTCCCTCATTCGTCGCCTCCGCCAGCCGACATCCTCTCCTCATGGCCGCAACCTCGGCCACCGCCGCGCGCGCGCGCCGCGCAAACCTCCGCGCAGTCAGCGCCGCCCTCCCGCTGGTGCTCTCTCTGCTGCTCCTCCACTCCCCCCGCTCCGCTTGCGCGAAGGGCACTCCGCCTCCGCCTCCGCCTTCGCTCTCGTCGCTCTTCCCGTTCTTCAGCTTCGGGTCCATCACCGGCGGAAGCCTCCATTTCGCCAGCCCGCCACCTCCGCGTTCCCGCAGCCCTCCGCCACCCCCTCTCCGCCGCCGCCCTCTCCCCCGCCGCCTTCCACGCCCCCGCCCTCTCCGCCTCCCCCGTCTCCACAGCAGAACCCCGCCAAGTGCAACCCATCGTCGCTCGCTGCCAGTGGGTTCACCTCTTCGAAGGTCCTCGCGCCGGGGTATGTTACGAGAGGTCTTTATTCGCGCCACGGATCTCCATCCTCAACATTATCGGCGAGCGCGTCGGGCTACGACTGGCCAATGTTCCGTTCAGCCTCTCTTGTTGCCGTGCCCGTTCTTTGAGCCTCCGTGCGTCCCTCGTAAACCTTCGGTTCACTCTCCCCGCCCTGTTCCCATCCCCCCTCTCTCCCCATCCCCTTCTCCTCTTCCCCGCCCCCTCCTCCCCCCTCCCCTCTCCCTTCTGCCTCTCCCCACCCGCGCCTCCCTTTCCTCCGCTCTCCTCCCCGCTCCCTACCTACGCAGGTTCACGTACCATTGGCGCGCCTCGTCAGGCTCGGTGGTTCAGATGGCTCTCGAAGCCGACTCGGCCCGAGCCAAGAGCTGGTTCGGCGTCGGGTGGACCGACGGCGGAAACGGCGGCAAAACCGACGCGGTTTTCGCGAACGTCGCGAACGGCGGCGTGAAGTCCTTCACGACGTCGACCGTCATCACGCCGCAAAAGCATGGCGACCCCGCGCCGGTCCACTATCATGTCGGAAACGAACACGCTCAACATCGGCAGCGCCGGCTCCGTCGGGTTCGGCGACAGCACGATCGCATTGTGAGTGCTGCAATGGCTTTTGAAGCGGCTCAAAAATCGATTATTTGATGCGCCCAGATTTTATATATATGTTAAACTTATAAATATTTGGCAGCGTATGTTGTTGTAAGTACGTTGCGACTTTTGTAACGCAGGCGGACGTCGCTCGCGGTTTTCGCTAACTGTCTACGGTACCTCCCGTGGCATTCGCTGGTCATTCCGACTAGTGGCCCAACGCCTGAACGGCGTCCGAACGCCTGAACGGCGTCCGAACGTCTGAGCGGCGTCCGAACGTCTGAACGGCGTCCGAACGTCTGAACGGCGTCCGAACGTCTGAACGGCGTCCGAACGTCTGAACGGCGTCCGAACGTCTGAACGGCGTCCGAACGTCTGAACGGCGTCCGAACGTCTGAACGGCGTCCGAACGTCTGAACGGCGTCCGAACGTCTGGACGGCGTCCGAACGTCTGAACGGCGTCCGAACGTCTGAACGGCGTCCGAACGTCTGAACGGCGTCCGAACGTCTGAACGGCGTCCGAACGTCTGAACGGCGTCCGAACATCTGATTGCCGAACGTTGCGCCCCTGCGTTGCTTCTCTACACTCGTTTCCTCTGTCTCAGGTTTAGCCGAACCGAGGGGACAGGCTCGGTGACGTTCCAGTCGTCCGGACCTATGAACGTGGTTTGGTACTACCCGTCCTGGGAAGGCCAGCCGCTTGGAAGCAACCCCAAGCCCGTGTAAGGAATAGGGAAGGGGGGGAGGAGGAGGGGGGAGAGGGAAACGCGGGGAGGGGGAAAGGGGGAAGGGGGAAGGTGGGGAGGTGGAAGGGAGGGGAAGAGGGATTGAGAGGGAACGGGGAGAAGGGGAAGGGAGAGGGAAGAAAATGCATGGAAGGGAAGAATCACCTTGGCTCTCGTCTCACCTCTCCTCTCCTCTCACCGCCCACGTTCCCCCCTCCTCTTCCCCCCTCTCCCCTCTCTCTTCCCCATCCTCCCCTCACCCCAGCGCCTCTGCCCAGGTCGATTTCTCCTGCAACGGCCAAATGGCGGGCACCCCCATTGGCTTCGCACCCGCGCCTTCCCCTACCGAATCGCCCTCTCCGCCCCCTCCCCCCTCCGTCACGCCCTCTCCCCGCCTCCCCCCTCGTCCACCACTCCCCACCAAGGGCGTGCTGTGCCCCGCGTCAACCTTCTCGGGCTATGAGTACCAGCTGGAGCTGGGGAGTGGCAAGTAAGTGGGGAGTGTGTGTGGGAGGATAGGAGCGAGTGGGGAGTATGTGTGGGAGGATAGGAGCGAGTGGGGAGTGTGTGTGGGAGGATAGGAGCGAGTGGGGAGTGTGTGTGGGAGGATAGGAGCGAGTGGGGAGTGTGTGTGGGAGGATAGGAGCGAGTGGGGAGTGTGTGGGAGGATAGGAGCGAGTGGGGAGTGTGTGTGGGAGGATAGGAGCGAGTGGGGAGTGTGTGTGGGAGGATAGGAGCGAGTGGGGAGTGTGTGTGGGAGGATAGGAGCGAGTGGGGAGTGTGTGTGGGAGGATAGGAGCGAGTGGGGAGTGTGTGTGGGAGGATAGGAGCGAGTGGGGAGTGTGTGTGGGAGGATAGGAGCGAGTGGGGAGTGTGTGTGGGAGGATAGGAGCGAGTGGGGAGTGTGTGTGGGAGGATAGGAGCGAGTGGGGAGTGTGTGTGGGAGGATGGAGCGAGTGGGGATGTGTGTGGGAGGATAGGAGCGAGTGGGGAGTGTGGTGTGTGGGAGGATAGGAGCGAGTGGGGAGTGTGTGTGGGAGGATAGGAGCGAGTGGGGAGTGTGTGTGGGAGGATAGGAGCGAGTGGGGAGTGTGTGTGGGAGGATAGGAGCGAGTGGGGAGTGTGTGTGGGAGGATAGGAGCGAGTGGGGAGTGTGTGTGGGAGGATAGGAGCGAGTGGGGAGTGTGTGTGGGAGGATAGGAGCGAGTGGGGAGTGTGGTGTGGGAGGATAGGAGCGGAGTGGGGAGTGTGTGTGGGAGGATAGGAGCGAGTGGGGAGTGTGTGTGGGAGGATAGGAGCGAGTGGGAGTGGTGTGGGAGGAAGGAGCGAGTGGGGAGGGGTGGGAGGAGGAGCGAGTGGGGAGTGTGGTGGGAGGATAGGAGCGAGTGGGAGTGTGTGTGGGAGGATAGGAGCGAGTGGGGAGTGTGTGTGGGAGGATAGGAGCGAGTGGGGAGTGTGTGTGGGAGGATAGGAGCGAGTGGGGAGTGTGTGTGGGAGGATAGGAGCGAGTGGGGAGTGTGTGTGGGAGGATAGGAGCGAGTGGGGAGTGTGTGTGGGAGGATAGGAGCGAGTGGGAGTGTGTGTGGGAGGATAGGAGCGAGTGGGGATGTGTGTGGGAGGATGACGAGTGGGGAGTGTGTGTGGGAGGAATAGGAGCGAGTGGGGAGTGGTGTGTGGGAGGATAGGAGCGAGTGGGGGGGTGGGGAGTGGTGTGTGTGGGAGGATAGGAAGCGAGTGGGGAGTGTGTGTGGAGGATAGGAGCGAGTGGGGGAGTGTGTGTGGGAGGATAGGAGCGAGTGGGGAGTGTGTGTGGGAGGATAGGAGCGGTGGGGAGTGTGTGTGGGAGGATAGGAGCGAGTGGGGAGTGTGTGTGGGAGGATAGGAGCGAGTGGGGAGTGTGTGTGGGAGGATAGGAGCGAGTGGGGAGTGTGTGTGGGAGGATAGGAGCGAGTGGGGAGTGTGTGTGGGAGGATAGGAGCGAGGTGGGGAGTGTGTGTGGGAGGATAGGAGCGAGTGGGGAGATGTGTGTGGGAGGATAGGAGCGAGTGGGGAGTGTGTGTGGGAGGATAGGAGCGAGTGGGGAGTGTGTGTGGGAGGATAGGAGCGAGTGGGGAGTGTGTGTGGGAGATAGGAGCGAGTGGGGAGTGTGGTGTGGGAGGATAGGAGCGAGTGGGGAGTGTGTGTGGGAGGATAGGAGCGAGTGGG